TATGTTAATTTATTAAGTAATGCATTATTTGGTTCTGGACAGTTTAATTACCCTTCCATCGTAAGTATAATTTTCAAAGAGTTGAGAATATGACTCAAACAAAGAATGAACACATATCAAAAAGTTAACGTCTCATTATTGAGCAAACTGCTAAGATGGTAAAGCTGGAACATTTTGAGGAAATGGTCATTTATAGGTATTTAAAAATGAAGGTCAGAATAAAAGAGGTTAGATACAAAATAGGTTAATGTGCTATGGGACAAGGCAAACCATGACCTTTAGAGATATTTTTTCCCACTAGCCACACTCTACAAATTCACATGTTCATAGAGGTTAGAGACTTTAATCAATAGTCAGTGGAATCAAACAAAGGTACATTCCCCTAAATAAGTAATCCCTAACGGGACTGTTAAAATGTTTCAGTATGACAGGACAGGTCATGCTGTTCTGCCTGCCCTCATTTGCCTTATTTCCAAGCTTTAGAAGATCTTTAATATTTCTTCCACTCAAAGTAGTCTGTGATAATGATAACAGTATATCATATAGCAGATATAATAATAATGTAGTTAGTTTGCTGCTACAAAAAGATAATGGAATGGAAGGAGAAGATGAGTTTTACAGAATGGAACTAAATAGTTACTTTCTAGTTACTTTTGTATTAGAACACCATACACTGAGGAGTTCAATTTGTCCAGTTAGAAATACCATACTGTCATAAAAAATCTAGCATTATAAATTTTAAAAATCTTAATAAATGTTAATATGTAAACAAATGGAGATATCCTTCTCATTTTAAAATATGTTCCTAGACATTAACTGAATTTGAAGTAATTATTTAAAGTGCTAAGCTAAAAAATGAACTGCTTACTTTCATAATCAGTAGTGAGCTCATCATTAATCAGTACTTTAGGATTTGTGGTTGCCATAACAACATGACACAACTTTCATCATTACCGTAAACCTGGTATTTCTGGAAATAGCTTACTTCAATATTCGAGCTTTGTGATCACTAAAATTGAGCTTTATTATAAAATCAGAGTTGAGTGCAATCAAATGTGCATGTGAGAAAAGAAGGTGTTAACAATTTAAGCCTGAAAATTCAAGAAGAAAAGATGATAATATACTATGGATGACAGAAAGATTAAAATTTTAATTTTTCTTTATCATAATAAAAATTTCAAAATGTTTTAACAGGTCAATTAAATTTTTCATCCCAAGTCATTTTTCTGCTTCTCAAAGTGAAATTAGACTATATTTTAAGAGACTGTGTCACATATCTCACACAAATGTTATCCATTATATATAAAATCTTTGAGCATCCTTTAAAAATAATAAAATACCATACTTATCAACACAGAAAGGACTAATAAAAATACAATATAGTTTAGTGCTGAAGAGAATAGACTCTGGGATCAGAAATACTAGAGTCAAATTGTAGCTCTCCTCTTATTAATTGGTGGGCCTTGGTACAATTACATAACCTTTTCTAAGTCTAAGACATTGTTTTCATGTATAAAATGGACATTTTAATTTATAGCCTTATTGGGAGGATTAAATTCAGTAACCCTTTAAAGGGTCACTCTGCTTGTGAAATGTAGGTAAGATTGTAGTGGTTGGGACACATGGTGGTTGGCAGAGCAAGGGTGAAAACAGAGTATTTTGGAGGTTAAGATGATAATTCAGGCACAAAAGAACCAGAGTAATGACTGCAGAGATACTGAAAAAGACCAGAATCCCTGTCAAATATTTCTTTCTAGGTAACTAAATTTTTAATAAAATAGTTTCATTGGAATTGCATTGAATTTACATATTAACTGAATACTAGTGAATTTTCTCAACTATGAATCTAATATACTATTTATTCAGACTTCTTTTAAAATTTCCAATAGTTTTATGCTTTAATCATATAATTTTCCAAATATATTATTTGGTTTTGTTCCTTAGAAACAATACTAGCCATTATGAAAAGAACTTTTATTTTCTCATTTCATGTTCTAAAATATTGCTGGTGTACAGGAAATACACTAATAGTTGTATGTTAATTTTCAACCTGGCCAAGTCTATTTTAGTTCTATTAGCTTATCAACTATTTCCCACCCAGACATCTAAATGGATTTTATTAATTGTTCTCAATATTTATGACTCTTCTCCATAATACTGACTCATTGTTCAGAGAAAAATAGATGTGATATTAAGTGTACACATCTTATTTTGTACATTAATAAAATATTTCTAAGGTTTCATCATTAAATGTGATGTTTTCTATAGATTTTCAATGTCCCAACATGGTCACATGCTCTTCTTTTCCAACAGGTTTAAGCAATGAGTTAGTGTAAAATTTTTCTCTGTATCCTTTGGCCATGATATAGTCCTCTTTTAATGCAATGGCATGTTTGTTATTTTTATTAAGGATTTTATATATTTAATATTTGCTTTACTTTCTACTTTAAAAAATTTATGCAGAGTAACTTATGCATTTATGAGTCCAGAATGACATTCAATACAGGTATTTAAGATGTTCTAAGGCCTAGCACTGTGATGCAGCAGTTTAAGCTGCTACTTTTGACCACTGGTTCAAGTCCAGGCTGCTCTATTTTCCATTCACCTCTCTGCTAAGGCATCTGGGAAGGCAGTAGATGATGGTCCAATTATTTGGGCCCCTATTAACGACATAGAAGACCTGGATGGAGTTCCAGGCTCCTGGCTTTGGCCATCCCTAGCAGCAAAGGCCACTGCGGCGTGAACCAGGATATGAAAGATCTCTGTTTCTGTCTCCCTCTAACTCTGTTTGTCAAATCAAAAAAATTTATCAGTATAAAATAATTCCATTTTGAGGTTTTAATGATACCTTGAATTAAGTTTGGTCAATACTGCCACTCTTGCTTTCTTTTTGTGTCATTTCTTTTAAATAGCCTCTTGTAAACAGCAGATTAGGTAAAGAGTACTTTTAAAAACCTATATTGAGGGGCCAGTGTTATGGCACAGAGAGTTAAGCTGTAGCCTGCAATGACAGCATCCCATATAGTGATGGCTCATGTCCCAACTGCTCCACTTTTGATCCTTCTCCTTGCTAAAGTGCCTGAGAAAGCAGGGGAAAATGGCCCAAGTGCTTGGACCTCTGTCATCCGCAGGGAATACCTCAAAGAAGCTTCTGGCTCCTGGCTCCTAGCTTTGGTCTGGCCCAGCCCTGCCTGTTGTGGCTATCTGGGGAGTGAACCAGCAGATAGAAGATTCTGTCTTTACCTCTTCTGTAATGGTGCCTTTAAAATAAATAAATCAACCTATTAAAAAATCCTACACTGAGATTCTCCTATATTAAAATAGGATAACAATTTATTCATTTATTGTATAAACTAATAAACTAGAATATATAAAAGCAATCTTACTTTGAACTATCTAGTTATTAAGTTCTAATTTCTCTTTGCTCATTCTTATAATAGCTTGATGGCTATTTTATGTGCTCTTGAAAAGAATGCGGGTTTTTTTTTATTGCAGTTATGAGTAGTATTCTGTAACTTTTAATGTCGAGACCATTAATTTTATTCACTATTCAGTTTCTTAACAGCATCCTGATTTTCTATCTACTTTTTCTACCAATTACTAAGAAAGGAGTGCAAACTATAATTCTTGATTCGTCTACTCTTCCTCAATTCTAGGAGCCTATACATCATGTTACTTGAAGCTCTGTTGCTAGATGCATATATTTACCATTTTATTTTCTTTAAGAACTGGTTCTATTATTATTATGTGCTTTTATCTATGGTTTTATTATCTGTTCCGTAGTCTTAATTTTTCTGATATTAACATAGTTACTTCAGTTTTATTATGATTAATGTTTACACCATACATCTTTTACCCCCTTTTAACTTTAAAAGTATCTTTGTATTTAAGATGTATATTTGGGGCAAGTATTTGGTACAGAGGTTAAGCCACCATCTGGGATGACTGTAATCCATAATGGAACACACAGATTCAAGTCCTGGCTCTGCTCTATATTCTAGTTCTCTGCAAATGTGCACCGTGAGAGGTGATGGTTCAAGTTCTTGGTTTCCTACCACTGACATGGGAGACCCAGATTTAGGTCACAGCTACTGGATGTGGCCTGGCCCAGCCCTGGCTGTTGTGGGAATTTGAGAAGTGATGAGACATCTTTTTTTTTTTTTTTTTGACAGGCAGAGTGGACAGTAGGAGAGAGAGAGAGAGACAGAGAGAAAGGTCTTCCTTTTGCCGTTGGTTCACCCTCCAATGGCCGCCGCAACCAGGAGCCAGGTGCTTCTCCTGGTCTCCCATGCGGGTGCAGGGCCCAAGCACTTGGGCCATCCTCCACTGCACTCCCGGGCCATAGCAGAGAGCTGGCCTGGAAGAGGGGCAACCAGGAAAGAATCCGGCGCCCCGACCAGGACTAGAACCCGGTGTGCCGGCGCCGCAAGGCGGAGGATTAGCCTATTGAGCCACGGCGCCGGCAATGAGACATATTAACAAAGTAGATTTCTTATAGACCACGGGTAATTGGGCTATGTTTTTTCACCTAATCAACCTCTGAGTTTTGACTGGAGCATGTAGTCCTTTTATATATTAGTTACTGATATGGCTACATTTAAGCATACATCATGCTATTTGCTTTGCATTTATTTCATCTGTTTTCCTCCTTTTGATATAATTTTTCAATATTCTATTTTATATTATCTTTTGCCATATTAGATAATTTTGTTTGTTTTAGTGGCTGCTATAAGATTTATAATCTACCATCAGACAGTATTATATATTTCAAAGACAATGCAATAACCTTACAACATCACAAAAGTATACTTCTACTTCTCTCCCAAGTATGTCTGGACAGTCAGGTCACATCATTGGGATGCCGAGGAAGGAAAAGGGCTGAGAACTATCAATCTTCAATGGTAAATTTCCTATTCTAAAAATAATTTCTTGCAAGAAATACACTTGTTCTTTAAAAATGTATGAACATTTGCCAACTATTTGGAACCAAAAACACTTACTTTACTGTGGCACTTAGAAGAAAGTTCAGCTGAGGCATTAACAGGTTGTCTGGAGCTGACAGGTAACGATCAAACTGAAGCTAAATGGAAGAGAAAGGCAAAAAACATGAAGTATGCGTAGTTGCTAGCAAATAACTTAAACATAATCAGCTCTTTTAAGGATTTATATTTTACAGTTCTTGGTGTCCAAATGAATATTTTCTAATCATCCTAACTAAAACTAACAACTTTTTAATTTAGCAAATATTAGCGAAATCCTGAATTTAGAATCCTGAATTCAAAGAATTCATTTTAATATCTCTCACTAAATCTACTAAGAAGTCAGGTCATCAGATTTCAAATCTACCTTACCTCCCAGAATCTGCTGTATTTACTAATGTGTTCTTCAATACGTTTATTCAATGAATATTTTTAGAACACCTACTACTAGAAAGGTGCTATATCAGGTAATGAAAATATATCAGGTACTGAAATAAGCAAAAGAAGACAATTTTCAGATTCACAGAGCTTACAGCCAAGTGAGAGACATTTTAAACAACTAATAATGTAAATAAACATATATAATTACAAACTGTGTGAAATATGACAGAAGAAAAAACCAAGGTACTGTAAAGTATAACTGGGAACCTAGTCTGAGGCTTGGCAAAAGCATCTTTGAGGAAAGGACATTTGAAGTAATATCCGAAAGACGAACAGACATTAAGCAGGGAAAGAGGGCTCTGGGAAAGGAGAACACAGAGGGAGGCTGGAGGTGAGAAGGAAAATGACAAGTAGAGATCAGCTCTCAGAGGACTTACATGCTTTTTTAAGGGTTTCATTTTTGCATAAAGTAAACTATTAATAATAGTAATAGTAATAGTAAACTATTAAAGTAGGGAAACAAGAATGGAATGGAAGACTATAATTGTCAGCACAAGGTATCTGTTGCAGAAAGTACTGAAGTCAATGTCGGGAGAATTGGAGATATTTGAGAATGTCAGTGTGAAATCTTCAGGACTTGGATACTGGCAGGATGAAGGAGATGACTATCACATTTTACATTTATTTCAAAGTATTGTCATAAGGCACAACTATATTCTTCATGCATTTATTTAGTCAGGTAAGAGCTGTATGCCTTACTAAATTATGCCTATTTTCATCCTAATTTGTAGTATATCTTCACAATTGCAGATATTTGATCATTAATTGTTGAAATGAAAAATGAACTGATATTCTTACCACTTTCTACATTAAGAGCACACTTAGAAGAGGACTGAGCCAGGGTGTGGCAGGGTTGCAATGGAATATGCTGAATTGAAGTTCTTTTGAAACCTCAAGTAGAGGCATCAAACTGTTGTATATAAAATTACTAATCATATACAAAACTCAACCTAGACTTTGTTTCATTAGAAATATAATATACTCAAATTAACTGTTTTTAAAATTAGGAGCAGGCATCTAAGAATTTGTAATAGGTCTTAAAACATTTTGTAGGTTATATGAGGGACAGAAATGTGTTTAGAGATAAGAAACAGAGGGAGGAAGCAAACATTTACTGAGTACTAACTAATACTACTGATCTTTGTGAGAACACGTCTTCACTTTAAGAAGTATATATTGAAGTGGAAATACTAGGTCGGATGGTGAGTTTCTGTAGGATTTCCTAGGAGCCTTTTTTTTTTTTTTTTTTTTGACAGGCAGAGTGGACAGTGAGAGAGAGAGACAGAGAGAAAGATCTTCCTTTGCCATTGGTTCACCCTCCAATGGCCGCCACGGCTGGCGCACTGCGGCCGGCGTACCGCACTGATCCGATGGCAGGAGCCAGGTACTTATCCTGGTCTCCCATGGGGTGCAGGGCCCAAGTACTTGGGCCATCCTCCACTGCATTCCCTGGCCACAGCAGAGAGCTGTCCTGGAAGAGGGGCAACTGGGACAGAATCCGGCGCCCTGACCGGGACTAGAACCCGGTGTGCTGGCGCCGCAAGGCGGAGGATTAGCCTAGTGAGCCACGGCGCCGGCCAGGTCTTCTCTTAATAAATCTAAAATTCATTTTTTAACATTTATTTCTATTTGAACTTTTTTTAAAGAAAGCTTTTATTTAATAAATACAAATTTCATATGAACTACTTTAGGAATATAGTGTTTCTTCTCCCCATACTTACCCTCCCACCTCCACTCCTGTCCCACCTCCACTCCCTCTCCCATCCATTCTTCATTAAGATTCGTTTTTAACTAATTTCATATAAACAAACTCTATACTAAGTAAAGATTTCAACAGTTTGCACACACACACACACACACAAAGTATAAAGAACACATTTTACAGTTAATTGTCATAGTATAACTCTTTAAGGACAGAGGTCCTACATGGGGAGTAAGTGCACAGTGACTCCTGTTGTTGATTTAACAATTAACACTCTTATTTATGAGATCAGTGATCACCCAAGACTCTTGACATTAACTGTCAAGGCTATGGAGGAATTTTGAGTCCACAAACTTTGTCAGTATTCAGACAGGGCCATAAGCAAAGTGGAAGTTCTTTCCTCCCTACATCTTTCTTTGATGGCCCCTTCTTTCCACTGGAGTCTCACTCACAGAGATCTTTCATATAGAACATTTTTTGCCACAGTGTCTTGGCTTTCCATGCCTGAAATGTTCTCATGGGCTTTTCAGCCAGACCTGAATGCCTTAAGGGCTGACTCTGAGGTCAGAGTGCTGTTTATGGCATTTCTCATTCTATGAGTCTGCTGTGTGGACGGCTTCTCATGTTGGAACATTTTCTCCTTTTTAATCCTATCTATTGTTATTATTTATGTGATTATTGTGATTATTTTTGTTTTTATTTATGTCTTATTTATGTGACCCCTTTGACACTTAATCCTATCTATATGATCAATTAAATACTTAATATGATCACTTTAACAATTAAGATGGCATTATTAACACCCTGCTTAATGGGATTTGGAGTTCCATGGCAAGTTTTTAGCTTTACCTTGGGGTAAGTCCATGGGAATGAGTGCAGAACTGTATAGCTCCTCTCTCTCTTATTCCCTCCCATTCTTGTTTTTTACTGGGATCTATTTTCCATTGACTTTATATACCTATTATTAATTCTATGATAAGAGTTCAATCAACGGTATTAAGTATAAAATAAAAAATAATAAAAAATAAAATAGTAAACTGTTCTTCAACAGTCAAGACAAGGGAAATTCAAATCTTTGCTTCTCATAGTGTCAATTTCACTTCTACAGGTTTCCTTTTAGGTGCTCTGTTCATTATCACAGATCAGGCAGAACATATGGTATTATCCCTTTGGGACTGGCTTACTTCATTAAGTATGATGTTTTATTTGAACTTTTTTAACATCATATTTCCTTTGCATTTCTACAGGTTTTGCTGTTAAAGTTTTTGTTTGATATTCAGAAGTTATGATGGTTGTTTCTATGTACAGTGTTTTTTATTTTGACATAATATTCTTAGTTTTTCAATTGAAACATTAATATAGTCAGCTCTGCCTATTCTTTGTATGTGTAGGAATCATGTGGGTGTAACTCTTTATGTTCAATTAAATTTAGTTTTGATAGAAGACAAATAAGAAAGCCCTGGAATTCAAAAAATTCTAAAGAATAATTTATGAAATTCAAATCATTGTGGTAGGAAGTATATGAATTTTAAACACTTAGTATAGCAATATAGTATGAGTACACTTCAAAGAAGTTTGTGGCAAATGGAACTGCACATTTATTTGATGCAAAAAACTTTTGAAATCCCACACATCCAAGGGATTTTTCAATGTATGTCATGAAAATGCATATAATGAAGAAACTACACATCAATTTTTGCATCAAATAAGTCTATCTTTTAACATCATTTTAAAAAAACTTTTTGAAGTTCTCTATTATAGTAATTTAGCCCAAGGGCTCTGGAGGCTGACTTCCTGGGTTGAATGAGGTTGTCATGAGGATTAAAGAGTCAAAGCACAAAAAACACTTTGCATATTCAGTAAATAATAATAGTTGTTGCTCATGGTTTCTGCTGTTATTATTACCATTACCAGTAGTACCATTATAAAGCATCCAAAGACGATCACTCCTATGAGGGATAGAACTGTATGATTTAAATGTCATGCAATGGATGGGTATACACACATATACACAACGTATATACTTAAGACACAGAAACATGCTATACATCATTGTGCAGTTGCAGAAAGGAAGGTGTAAATTCATCATTGAAAAAGAAGTGTTGGTGCAGCGAGTCCCACACTCAAGACCAATATACTATTTTAAGACTGCAATCCAATTTCAGTTGTTATCTCAGGAAGAAGTCAAGAACTATAAATCAAGGATAAAGGCAATACAAGTCTATAATGATATATACCCTAATTTCTTCATGTCTATCCATTCTGATTCTCTATTCCATTAAGAAAAAACTCTGAAAATAAAGAAATCCTAAACAGCAATGAGACCATCAGAATATGGTGAAATACTACTGTAAATATAAGTCTTAGACTTGTTAGTTAAAGGAATACATGCTCAACGATTACTATTGGGTCCAATGTGGATATATTATATTATATCAAGAGATAAAAATTAGCAACCAAGACAAAATATTCATGTAGAAAAAAAAATAAGTGGTCCATAAAAAATATTAAATTGAAATACGTTTTGAAAACTCACCATCGCAGCCTTCAGTGCCACAGAGTCTAGGTTGGGCAAATTAGCTAAACAGCCCTATTAAAAAAAAAAGAAATAAAGAAGGGATATGCATTTCACTTCATTTGTCCATTAATAGATTGCCCACATATGAAAAATCACTTTGCTTATTTCCAAAGCCTAAGGTCACCTTTTCAACCTTAGTAAGAGCAAGCACTATGAGCTGTTGAAGAGAATAAGCAGCAAATGAGGTTATTAGCAAGGGATATACAACAATACTTCACATTTACTCACGAACAAGAGAAAAAGGCAATAAAGCATTTGGAAAATGTCAATGAGATATGGATGCTTACGAGTTTCACGTTGATTATCTAGGAAGGTACAGAAAGGCAGCAAAATTGGTTTTTCCTTCCTTAAAGTGGAAATCTGTCTACTACTGTGGCAAAACCAACCAACCAACCAACCAACCAAAAAACGCTGAAAAGTTGTGATTTTTGAGTTTCATGTAGAACACCTAAACTATTAGTGTTCAGATTAATGTAACTTGGAAGACTTTTTTTTTAAAGGAAGATAGTTTACTTTATTTTCTAGGGTTCCCAATAGTATATTATCTATTTCTCCTAGGGTTCTATAATTAAGCAAGATCATGTTAGCCCCAGAAGTGATAACTTTCCTAAATTAATGGACCCTGATTTGCTAACCTAAAAAAAGGATAACTAATATTTATATAATAATCTATGCATTCAATAAACTGGTAGTGATGTAGGATTCTAAATTATTTCCCAGTATGAATATCATTTATATATTTTATGACACCAATTTTTGTATACTTTTAATCAAAACTATTGGTAGTAAAAAGAACAGTTAACATTCTGGGACACTGTAGAATATCTAGGGTGGTCATTTAAGAACTCTGCATGCAGTTATCTCACTTAATCTTCATAACAACCCAATTATTCAGATACTATTATTACTCCAATCCAGAGATGAAAAAAGAGACACAAAGAGTAAGATACTTTCCCAGAAAAAAAAAATTAGTTAATAAGTGATATAGCCAACATTCAAATCCAAATTCTAGCTCTTAGCAGCTACAGTCTAAACTAGCAAATTTCTTGAACTACAAACATCTATGTAGCTTACCTGTTCAGGTTTATGTTGCTGTACAGTGTTATAGATATAACTCAAGCCTACTCTAGTTAAAACATAAGAAGCTTGCTCATTTATAAGTGTGTCCAAATGTGCTTCAATCTGTAATAAAACACAAAGAAAGAAAACACTTTAAAAGAAGAATACACAGATGAGAGTAGTAGCAGAGTATCCTAGAGTCGTAGCCCTTCAACCTGAATTTGTTCCCTGAATGGGCACAGATTATGAAGCACAGGGATGGCTTCCAAAACAAAGGCTTTTTCTTCCCCCAAAGAAGCCCTACAGAAGAAAGAGAAAGTCTTACTTTAAAAATGTTAACAAGGAGAGGAGGCTAGCACTGTGGCATAGTAGGTAAATCCCTCACCTGCAGTGCTGGCATCCCATATGGGCACCAGTTCTAGCCTCAGCTGCACCATTTCTGATTCAGCTCTTTGCTATGGCCTGGGAAAGCAGTAGCAGATGGCCCAAGTGCTTGGGCCCCTGAACACACTTGGGAGTCTCGGAAGAGGCTCCAGGCTCCTGACTTTGAATCAGCTTAGTTCTGGCCATTGCAGCCATTTGGAGAATGAACCAGAGAATGGAAGACCTCTTTCTCCAAGCTCCTGGCTTGTATCGTACAGAAAATGACAATGGAGCAATTAACAAAAGCAAGCAATTGGTGATAAAGAAAACTGATAAACAGCTGGACATTTTAAGGAAAGATTTAGAGAAATGGCAGAGAGTTGGGCCTGAATTAGCAATAAACAAAAAAAATTATTTTTTAAAGGAAAATGGTACCTTACAGAAAACAAAGTTATTCAAGAAAGGAAAATTAATAAATTCTTATTTAGCTCAACCTTAACTAGTTTTTACACAGTCATATTAATTTAACACAATAGTGTGTTAAATTTTTGGTCTAACCAAAAATTGTAACTACCTTGGGAGAATGGTAAAGTTCTAAATATGGCTTTATTCCTGTTTGTGTGTGTGTGTGAAGTAAATTTTCATCATTCAGAGTACATATTTAATGTAGTAAATCTAAAACTAAAAAAGTCTACAAATAGGAATAAACACAAACATTTAGAGTTACAAATAACAAAAGAAGCAAATATAAGAACTGAAAGATGTGATTCTTTAGAGAAATACTGGAGTGGAGAGTATAGAACATTATGGCTTTTCAAAACAAACTCAATAATTACATGAATTTAAAGTATGAATATGGCTATTTCTTATAAATTCTTTTAAAAGAAGAAATTCAAAATTAGAAAATATCAAAAATGTGATGTATCACAACTCATTCCTGAAAAAAACTCAAACTCAACAAGTCAATATTTACTGTACCCACTATCAAACTGTTTATATACTTGTTATAATGTGGAATGTTCTAAAGGTTGTTTTTAATATCAATTACCACTCTAAAATTGAAACCCAAGTGTCTGGTAAATTTTATAAATGTCTTTGGTTTAGTCATTACACAGACTCTTATGTGATACCATTTGGTGTATAGAAAGAGTGATTGGGATAACAAATTGTAATGTTTTGCCTAACACCAATTTACACATAGATAAAAATATATCTGTCTCTGTAACACATTCTGCACTAGCTACAAACTTGAAAAATATTGCATATTATTCACAGTTCAGAAACTGAAATCCACATATAGAATTGAAGAACTGTTCAAATTAAACAGAAAAGCTTCCTTCTACCATCTCATACTTTGGTCTGAACCATTACATTCTGGCTTTGCCAGAGATGAAAGCCAAAATATCAAGTGTGTGTGTATGTGTATGTGTTTCAGTCAGATTACATCCAGGGACTTACAGAAATTAGGCCAATGAAGTTAACCAAAATCAATAATTTAAAGCTATCATATAGAAAAAAAAGATTCCATCACACTCCATAGTCATGCTGTAGCAAAATTTACCTGAAATTGTAGCATTTCCAGACGTCTGTCAGTGAACTCAAATAGAGCTAATGTTGTCTTCATCATATACAGAGAATTGACCATGAAAGTGGCCATATCAGCTGTGCCTAAATTGCTGGCTGATACAGTACACATCTGGAGGAGAGGATCCAAGACACACGATAAAACCTATGAATGAAAAATAAAAGTTAATATATTTTTTAAAGATTTATTTTATTTATTTGAAAGACAGAGTTACAGAGAGAGGTAGAGACAGAGAGAGAGGTCTTCCATCAGCTGGTTCACTCCCCAGATGGCTTCAATGGCCAGAGCAGCACGGATCTGAAGCCTGGAGCCAGGAGCTTCTTCTGGGTCTCACTTGTGGGTGCAGGGGCCCAAGGACTTGGGCCATCCTCCACTGCTATCCCAGGTCATAGCAGAGAGCTGGATCGGAAGAGGAGCAGCTGGGACTAGAACTGGCACCGATATGGGATGCCAGTGTCCCAGGCCAGGGCTTTAATCTGCTATGTCACAGTGCCATCCTTAATATTTGCTAACTAGCAATCTGGTCCTAGGTTAATGGCACTTCAGAACTAATACCAAACTAACTGTAAGGGAATCAACCTGTAGAAGCACATAGGAAAATATTAAATAATATAATAACCATGTAGTTTAACAAATAAGCATCACTGAATCACTGTTCTTAATTAAGAGAATTGGTTTATTACTTGAAAGAAAATCAACAACAGGAAAGAAACTGTAAAAATATATGGGCCATAAAATGTCAGCATCTTAACAGAATATACATTAGAAGGACAAAACACAACCACTTATATGAATTTCCAACATACTTGCACAAAATCAGCTTGACGAGCATCTAAAGGGACAACTGAAGAATCATGAGATGCCAAAACTTCACGCAGCAACATGAGTGTCTGATTTAATGCAGAACTTGGTCCAAGATCAGGTGGTGGGAGTTCAACCTAAAATAGAGAATAGTTTATACATTCTTAATTTTCCACTAAATTTTAACATGCACATGCATGACTGTTCACAGTAAAAACAATGTTTTGTAAATACAAAGCACTGGCTGACATATTAAAAACCCATAGTTTATCAACAGCTTTTTCTGAATTATACTACTCGGCAAATAAAGTGACTTGACACAAAAGTCCTTTGTCAGATTATCTCAAAATTAATATGTAACATTATATTCTAAAATTTAAAAACTGATGAAATGGCCGGCACCGCAGCTCACTAGGCTAATCCTGAACCTAGCAGCGCCGGCACACCGGGTTCTAGTCCCGGTTGGGGCACCGGATTCTTTCCCGGTTGCCCTTCTTCCAGGCCAGCTCCCTGCTGTGGCCCGGGAAGGCAGTAGAGGACGGCCCAAGTATTTGGGCCCTGCACCCCATGGGAGACCAGGAGAAGCACCTGGCTCCTGCCTTCGGATCAGGGCAGTGCGCCGGCCGCAGTGCGCCAGCTGTGGCGGCCATTGGAGGGTGAACCAACGGCAAAAGGAAGACCTTTCTCTCTGTCTCTCTCACTATCCACTCTCCCTGTCAAAAAAAAAAAAAGAACTGATGAAAAAAGTTAGTGTTCATTTGAATTGTACAATATTTTGGCGTGTATATGAAATAACATACTGTTTTTTAGCTTTAATCATACACTACCACAACTATAATGTAATTGAGAAATATCACCTACTATCAGGCCCAAACCTCAGAGCTCTTGGTTCAACATGAGATGAAGGGCTTCCAAAAAGTTCATGGAAAATACATATTATTTAAAAAACTAAGAGAATTTCAAAATTTTTGCACTAAAGCTGATTCAATTTTAACACAAACTATTTGAAGCAGCCTCGTAGGTTACAGGCCCAGGAAACAATCTTTCAAAAGCACCCTGAAAAAGGTTCAGGAGGCTCTTCCACAGGCAACAGATTTTGAAAATTTTTCACAAAAATGATATTACATTACAAGCCCCACAGCTGAGAGCTGGAGAAAGTGCCAGCTTTGGAGAGCGAGGTGAGAGCAGAATGCAGTAGCCCAAGCCAATGACGATATAGCCAGAGGAAAAGCCCGATAGAGGACACTGTCTTTGAGCCTGGCCTGGAACCATAAGTGGTACAGGTTACCCACCTAGCCCTGCAATAAAAGGGCATGTTTCTCTCCCCTCACCCCCCAACAACAGCACCCTGCAACCAGCTGGGAGAAGGTGCCATATTAACATCAGTAGCAGCTGCAGCAGCTCATTTTGAAATTAGTAGTGAGCACAGCGGCTCTTGTGCACATGTGTGATCCAGGGATTTTACCAGAGGGAAAAATCTTCTTAACCTACTGATTTTGACTCTGGCTCATAAGACTGACAGGGGGTTGAGCATAAATGTAGGACTGTGAGGTGTCCCTACCCTCTCAATATATCACAGGCTCTGAGGCTCAAACTGCCAAGGCAGAGCACCCACAGGCAGCTGGCTCTGGATATGTCTCTGCCTCTCTGTGAATGGAATAAGCTAGTAGGGTGGAGCAGATCCTCCGTACCCCAGGACTATGGGAGTCTTGAATGCTAAGACTGTGGGAACTCTGTAACTGCATGATAGGGCACAGGGTGTAGGTGGGTCTCTGCCAATCACTGTGTGCAGCATGAAAGGCTCAGAGCTCCCTGACTGCCTGGAGTGGGTCATTGTAGTGATTTCCATGTCCAAACAAGGACAGCATAGTTCCTTTGTGTGCTTCATGTGGCAGCCAGATTGAGTATTGTGCCCAATGTGAGCTGACCTAGGGCATCGATCACCTTGGAAGAGAGGAGATGACGGTATGATGACACCAACAGATGTAATCATACCCTCTTGACTCTGACAATGGAGATCAACCATGCCCGACCTGGGTGTCACCCTGATTAATTGCTCCACCCTGGAGTACTACTTAGACCTCCAGAGCCAAACCCAGCACAGGCTACTACATATTCACTGAAAGAACAGACACACTCCATTAAGCCACAAAGATATAGTTTAAGAATGAAAGGGATCAATTGAACATTAAGATGTAACTATAATAAATGCAACCAATGCCAGGGTGCCTATTTAAAAGAAATATTAATAGATCTAAAGGAAGACACAGACACCAAAACAATAGTAATGGGGGATTTCACACCCCACTTTCATCAACAGACAGATCAACTAGATGGAAATCAGCAGAGAAACAACAGAGTTAATCAAAACTATGGACCAAATGGATCAAATGGACTTAACTAGTTAAGTTCCACAGAAATTTTCATGCCACAATTGCAGAATACACATTCTTCTCATCAGTGCATGGAACTTTCTTTAGGATAGACCACATTCTAGGCCATAAAGCAAGTCTCAGTAAATTCAAAAAAATCAAAATCATATCATGAATCTTCTCTGATCACAATGGAATGAAGCAGGAAATCAACAACACAAGAATCTCTAGAACACACAATAATCAATAGCTGTTATATACACAGACAATGCCATGGCTGAGAAAGAACTTCTAGGATAAATCCCATCAATAGCTACTAAAACTACTAAAACATTTATATACCTTGACATACATTTATCCAAGGACATGAAAAATCTCTATGATGGAAATTGCAAAACATTAAAGAGAAGAAATAGAAGATGACACAAATAGAAAAAATCTTTCATCTTTGTGGATTGGAAAAATCACTATCATCAAAATGCCCATCACTACTTATTTCAAAAGCAATTTGCAGATTCAATGTGATCCCAATCACAAAAATAAGCACATTCTTCTCAGATCTAGGAAAAAAAGGTTGCTAAAATTTATATGGAGATACAAGAGACTCCAGATAGCTAAAGCAATACTGCACAATAAAAACAGCCAGAAAAATCACAATATTAGATTTCAAGACATACTATAGGCCAGTTATAATAAAACCAGAATGGCTCTCATACAGAAATCAACAAACAATAAATGCTGGTGAGAACTTGGGGTGGGGGGGTACCTTAATCCACTGTTGGCAGGAATGTAAACTAGCATAGCCATTGTGGAAGACAGTATGGAGATGAAGCTCAGGAATCTGTTCCAGATCTACCATAGATCCAGCCATCACACTCCTGGGAATTTACTCAAGGGAAATTAAATCAACATATGAAAGGGTGTTTTGTACCCCCGTATTTACTGCCACTCAATTCACAATACCTAATATATGGAATCAACCCAGTTGTTCATCAACCAATGACCGGATAAGGAAAATGTGATCACACACACACTCACATGCACACACACATACACATACATACACATTATGGCTATCTAAGACACATTACACTTGCTAGATATCATGGGGGGCTCTGCTGCTACTGCAGCTAGCAGGTTTTAGTGACTTCAGTCTGCATGGACATACAATTTTCTTTAGCAGCACTCAGCAGCCAGGGTATGGAAAGGAAACATTAAAATTGAAGTAATACAGAGTGGTTCTACCAAGTGTGATAAGATGACATGGGTGCAAAAGATTACAGGCACCAGCAAGATAAAGATGGAATAGAGGCTAAGAGAAAATGAACTGAATCAACCACTCAGGTAACTAGTTTATATTGAGCACCTCATGAGGTGAGATATAGGAAAATTAACTATTTTTGTTTTTTATTAAAGATTTATTTTATTTATTAGAAAGAGTTACAGAGAGAGGTAGAGACAGAGAAAGAGGTCTTCCATCAGCTGGTTCACTCCCCAGATGGCCCCAACAGCCAGAGCTGAGCCAATCCGAAGCCAGGAGCCAGGAACTTCTTCCGGGTCTCCCATGTAAGTTCAGGGGCCCAAGGACTTGGGCCATCTTCCACTGCTTTCTCAGGCCATAGCAGAGAGCTTGACTGGAAGAGGAGCAGCCAGGACTAGAACCGGTGACCACATGGGATGCTGGCACTTCAGGCCAGGGCATTAACCCCCTGTGCCAAAGCACTGGCCCCAAATTAACTATTTTTGTATATCAATCTGTTCACCAACTACCTTACTAAAATTCTTTTCACATTCTATAACTTTTCATTTGATTCTCCTGATTATTGTAGCAGAAAAACATAGCATCAACAAATAACCTAATCTATTCCTTTGATATATGTAACTCTCATTTTTTAACCTGGTTTTATATCCTGGCTATTATTTAAAAGTATTGACAGGCATTCTTGTTCTTCATTTAAATAGAAACGTATTACTAGAGCTGCCAATAGTGATGATGTTGTCTTTTAGCTTTATTTTATCTGTATATATACATGGCTATGGATGTATTCTTCAGGTATTTATTAAATTTTCCCCTAAAAATCTTATCAAATGTTAATTTCAATATAATGTTAGTATACTCCTATTGTACATTAATTATTATTTCCTAACACTGGTGTATTCTTGTATTCATAGAACAAACCATACTTGGGTTTTAACATAATGCTGAACTTGACACTTTTTTAACTTTTTAAAAAATGAGTGATTTGTGGTTTTCACCATAATACTATGCTTAAAAGGCTTTTTTATGTTATACCACCTAAAAGAACAGGGAAGCTATCCATATTTTCCTAAATTCATGTTATCTACTTGTTTATGGCTCAATTTCTTCCAAAAATTTATTTATTTTATTTGGACAGCAGAGTGACAGATGTGTCTTCCATCCACTGATTCAATCCCCAAATGACTATGACAACCAGGGAGGGGCTAGCCAGAAACCAGGAGTTTGGAACTGCATCTTGTTCTCCCATGTGGATGGCAGGAGTCAAGTACCTGGGGCATCATCCGCTACTTTCCCAAGTGCATTAGCAGGGAAATGGATCAGAACCAGAACAGTCAGGACTCAAAAAAGGACTGATATGGGATGCAGGAGTCTCAAGAGGCAGCTTGTTAACCCACCATGCCTCAAGGCTGGCCCCTTAGCTCATTCTTTTGTTAAAATATTTGAAAGGCAGAAATATAAAAGGTAAAGGCAGAGAGAGAGAGAGAGAGAGAGAGAGAGAGAGAGAGAAAGAGAGAAAGAGAGAGAGAGAGGTCTTCCATCTGCTAGTTCACTTCCCAGATGGCCACAACAGTCAGAACTGTGCCGATCCAAAGCCTGGAGCCAGAAGCTTCCTCCAGGTCTCCCATAAAGGTGTAGGAGCCCAAAGACTTGGGCCATCTTCCACTACTTTCCCAGGTCATAACAGCTGGATCAGAAGTAGAGCGGCCAGGACTCAAACTGGCATCCATTTGGGATGCCAGCACTGCAGGTGACGGTTTTACCCATTACATCACAGCACCAGTCCCTTAACTCATTCTTTTATCAATTTGTATCTCTTTAAAAATCATTGTTATTCATATTTTCAAACTATTTCAGCCTAAAACTGCATATGTTCTCTAAGAAGCTTTACTGTCATCTGTAGATTGTCTCTAATTTCTGATGTTTTAATTTTATTTTTTCACTTTGATCATACTTGCTAGAAATTGCCAATTTTGTTGATCTTTTCAAATATATTTGTTTCTGTTTTCCAATTCATCAAATATTTGATTCCATCTTCTTATTTCCCATAGTTTGTTTTATAGTTCTTTTAAATATCTGAATACAAATGCCTAATGTATTTTATCTTCTACCTTGAGTCCTCCTATAGATGATCTAACTCATATGCTTAGCCATGTGCTTCTGACATCCTGCAATCTGGCTTCCATCTTCACCACAGGACCAAAAATGTTCACTATGGTTACCCATCATACATTCAGTACCAAAAAAATTCAACCTTTGCTTTAAAATCACCTCTTTGTTACCGGAAGTCTTCACACAGCATCTGTTGTTATTAACCATGTCCTCCTCCTTAAAACCACTCTTGGTCTTTCTAATAAAACCTCCTTACTTTTTTCCCCTCTCAGCATCATATTGTTTTCTTTCTTCTCTTAAATGCCAGCATTTCCCAAGCCTATGTGTGTTCTAGTAGCTTTACTGTTATAATAATTTACTCCTAGTGGACTCATCCAAATCCAGGTTTGAACTATCTCTAATTACAAAACTCTCCAACTCCAACTCTATGGCTGCCTACTAGATTAGATTGATTCCAAAAAGATCTCTCTTGGGTAACTCGAAATCAGCTTATCTTAGACAACATCATCTTTATCTCAACATTTTACTCTATTTCTGTATTCCAGATATTTGTGATTATTCAAGGAATTATTCTAGACTCCTCACCCACACTTAGCCTTATTTTGTCAGTCACCAAGTTTTCACGAATTACCTTTATCACTCTAGAATCTTCATGGTTATTCTAGAATCTCTCTCTTAGACCTCATATTGTCATAAAAATTACTTCAATCCTCCCTTAATCTCCATTTATTCAACCTTGCCTCTCTCCCTTTTTATTCATCACTTTTCAAGTAATCCTTTTAATAAATGTAAAAATTTGTTTCCTTATGATTTATACTTTGAGTTCTGCATATTCCACCTGTTTTTTTCTTCTTAGGATGACCTCTGTTCACCCTGTTTTTGCTCTACTGAAATCTGACATATCATTCAAAGTTCAATTGTAACACCTCACTCTCTGGAAAGCTCCATCTCTGGAAAGGAGAATATATGTAGATTGCTATTTTTCCTCCCCTTTGTGTGCCAGTATTATACTCTAGACACACATATTTTATAAAGCATGTAATCCTGTGATAATCACATTTTCCATAAAGAAGAAACTAAGGTCAACAGAACTTGAGTGTTCACTCTTATACTCTCATCAGCTAGCATTTATTTATTCATGGTCAACGTTTGTACCATGTTTCAATGATTTTAGAATTCCATCCTGAGAACTCACATAAACAAATGCAACCAGAATTGTTCATTGTTCCTAACATACAAGGAAAGAAATTGTTTCTAAAAACAAGGCAGGAAAAAATGTAAAACAGATACTCCAGCTCTACAAATTTAAGTTGCTTTCCCCAGAAGAATTCTGTTGTGCATAGGGGACAAGACACATACTCCTATTAATGCTTACTGGAGCTTAGAAAAGTGGTGATTGACCAGGTACTCTGCAAGGTATTGCTACTGACTAATCTAGGATATTCTATTCTGTACTATATTATAAAATTTGTGCTTAATATAGCCAACCTACTGATAGAATATTATAATAAAAAGAGCCAGCATAGTGATTGTGATGCATCCTTTAAAAATTTGAACCCTTAATAAAGAAATAAATACAAAGAACTGAATGACTATAAAGTCATTCCTTAAAGTCTTGTCACAATACTCTGCTCACATTTTTTAAAAGTAATGTTTGTTGTTTGTTTGTTTTAAAGGCAGACAGAAACACAGACAGATCTTCCATCCACTGGTTCATACTCCAAATATCTGTAATAGCTGGGACTAGGTCAGACCAAAGCTTAGCAGCTCAACCTAGTCTCTCACGTAGGTTGCAGGGAGCCAAATACTTGAGCCATCACCTGCTGCATCCCAGGGTACACATTAGCAGGAAGCTAGAATCAGAACAGAACAGGGACTCAAACCCAGGCACTCTGATAACAGATGCAGGTGTCCCAAGAGTCCTCTTAACCACTATGCCAAACTCCTTGGCTTCTATTCTTCTCAACTTACAATATTAAATCTCACGGGACTCTCACCCAGGTTTTTGCTGTTCATTTCTTTTTTGTAGGGTGTTTTTCCTATTTCTTTTCATAAATAAGTATAGTATATGATACAGAAGAATATAAATCCAATAAGCACAAAGCCATAACATCAGATGGTAAAAATATAAGCTGTTTGGAGAGAACATGTTGTAAGAGTTTGTTTTCTAATCTTTAAGTCATGTTGTTAGCCTGCATCTAAGTATAGCAAGTTGGCTTTAGGTGCTCATTTTCAGTTCTAGAAAAATGGTAGTGAAACTAGGGCTTAAGATTCTATCTCCAATTATGACTCAGTATTATACTATTCCAGGAAGATGGAGACTACAAACTAAGGTCCAGTAAACCATCTCAAAAGGAAGGTTGCTGTTAACAGGCAGAATTCAAAAGAGCATTGTATAGAACAGAAAAAAAATTCATCAGTCAATGGAAAACATTAAAACAACATCTTCACATGTGAAAGATTCATAATCAGAATTTAAGAATTGCATTTTTCAAACATACCTTGTCCATTAATTTACTGGCATGAAGACTCAAGCTATTGAAGAATATTTTCTTGCTTAGTAAATGCATTTCTTCAATGGTAGTCAATAATGTAGTTGCACTGTTTCCAACAATGCCACTAAAATCAAAGAATAGTTCAGGTTGTAAAACAGAAGTTAAAACAATTCAGTCCTTTAAGTGAGTAAACTGCTTTAAAAAGTTCTAAATTTAAATAAACATTTTTTTATATACTACAATCTGTGAATTAAAAATAATGATTTTAGTAATTAATTTCACATAAAAACGTTTTTAAAATTCTGAGTTTAGTGATAAAAAAATGATAAACTACAGGTTGAGCATCCCTAATCTGAAAACTCAAAATCCAAAGGGCTTCAAAACCTGAAACATTTTGATGGACTTAAGGTTTTCTTATTAGGGATACTCAACTGTTAGAACCCATGTAAATACTCCAAAATAAAATATAAAAAACCTCCAAAATGTAAAATATTCCTGTTTCCAAACATTTCAGATAAGGCATTCTCTACCTCTACTACATTTTTAATATTTCACAATCTCATTTAGTAAAACTGTGTGTTAAAACAGGCATTCATAACTTAAACCTGTATCTTTATTTTTCTTCTATTAAACATATGATTTAGTTATCCAAAAAGACCTATTTTAAGAAAGGCATTCCTTCAATAGCTCTAGTGAAAAACTGTATAAATATTGAGTTATTCTTTTAATTTGAACCATTACACTGTATCAATATCACATCTACAAATTATAAAATTTCTCCTTTTCAAACAGCTATCTATATAGTATAGACTACAAAAATTCTGATATTTTAAAATATTAATTACATGAGCACATTCCCATATTTTGTAATATTTATTTATTTGATAGACAAAGAGAGAGCTCCTACCTACCAGCTCACCCATTAAATGCCTGCAATGGCCAAGACTACCAGATCAAAGCCAGTAGGGCAACCCAGGTTTCCCACAAGGGTGGCAGGGCCCAACTATATGAGCTTGCCACCACTGGCTTTCTACCTTTCTGATTTCATTTTTCTTCACCCTTTCCAATTCACTGCACACCAGCCACTGGTCTCCCTCTGCTTCTCCAAAATTCAAGCTTTTCCTGGTTCCAAGACCACAGTGGATTTTTCTGCCTGGGATGCTCCAAAATTTTTTCATGCCGAACTCCAACTCCTTCATGCTATTCTTTAAATTTTCTTTTTACTTATTTATTTTCATAGTATTTTCAGGGCAGACACACTAGAACAGGCTGAAGTCAGGAGACTGGAACTCAGCCTGATTCTCCCACATAGGGATCCAAGCATTTGAGCCAACATCTGCTGCCTCCGAGAGTATGCTTTAGCAGAAAGCTGGATCAGAAGCATAGGAGCTAGGATGTGAACGTCCAGGTAGGGATTTGAACAGTCCCCTCCTTTATGTTCTTCAGGACTGTTCCAATATATGATCTCCACAAAAATGCCTTCAAAAAGTCACATACACATATACTTATTCATACATGCTCAACCCCTATACTTTATATTTCCTTTCTCTTGCTTTATTTCTCTTCAGTGCCCTTATCATGATCTAAAATCATTATTTTATACTTGTTAAAATGTTTGTCTCCCCATTAGAACATAAGTTTAATATATTTTATTCATTGCTGTTTCCTCAGCACCTAGAAGAGTGACAAGTATATGGAAACTTTTTTAACTGATCAAGTGAGGAAATGTGAGGAACAAGTAGAAAATGTGTAAGCAAAAAATATATTAGAGGGTTTGGCGCTGTGGCGCAGTCGGTTAAAGCCCCAGCCTACAGCATCGGCATCCCATATGGGCGCCAGTTCAAGTCCTGGCTGCTCCACTTCCAATTCAGCTCCCTGTTAATGGCCTGGAAAAAGCAGCAGATGGCCCAATTCCTTGGGCCCCTGCCCCCAATGTGGGAGCCCAGGAAGAAGCTCCTGGCTTGGGATCGACTCAACTCTGGCCATTGTGATCATCTGTGGAGTCAACCAGCAGACTGAAGATCTTGCTCTCTTCTCTGTCTCTACCTCTATATGTAACTCTTTCAAATAAAAAAAATAAACCTTTAAAATATATACAAGAAAAAATCTTATCACCCTCAATATCATCTTATTCAAAGATACACAAAGTCTAATTCCCAAAGTCTAAAACTCTTATTATCATCTTGACAATCCACATGATTTTATTTCTAGCATTTTCTAAATGACAAACAACTATTATTATCTTTAAATAATAAAATTATATGGAGTATCACATGGGTACTACTAAACAGGTAATTTTAAGTTATTTTACCACTAGGTTTTCATAACCTAGCATTTGTTATATCCAGCTGCTTTCAGTTGCTTTTGTGTTTCTAAGTATGTATCATTCTTATTTTAGGAATACTATATATGACATTACAATGGAAACTAAATCATTGCTTTTGTGTTACACAGAATGATGACAATAAATGTATATCTAAAATATTAGAGAGCAATGTAAATCTTATTTCTGAAAAGTCTGTTAGCCTGTACCTTGTTAGTTTTGTCTGAAAATCTACCAGTAAGATGTGAAACCCATTTCTAAAGTTTTGGGTGGTTTCTCTCATGTGCTAAGGGGTAGGTCATTTTATTACCATAGTCTTGTGATGTTCTATTAACTCAGGATCTCTGAAGCTCTCTGTTAGTTATAATCCCCTGGCATTTTTACAGCTAGCCTTCTGTTCATGATACAGGCAAAGTGGATAACAAGTAGTTGCTAAGTAATTTTTAATGAAAAAAATAGAAACCTTGAAAAATATAGCTTGGAAGGACATTGTTTTTAGACAACCAGACACATAATGTAATCTTACAGTGACATTTACAATAAAGCTTAAGTGAATATCACCAAGAGATGCATGAAAAGCAAAAATGAATACAAAGTTTAGAGTCCAAGATCACATCTTAGATAAAACACACAGTTCCTAATCAGATAAAATGTTTTTATGTAAAGAAGATAAAGCTATGGTTTTATTTCATCACTGACAGAAAATGAAATGTTAACAAAGGATTTAGGTTATTTCATTCAAAATAAGGTATTTCACTGATTATGCTATATTCTAAGTATAATATACAATTGTTTTAGTTGTCACGAATCTCTTTTACTAATGTAGGAAGAGTTAACAAATACTTTGTAGACCTATACAGTTATATAAGAGGAATGTATGTTTGTATATATGTGTATTCAAAGAGGTCTGCCCAGTTACATTTGGAGAATAAAAAGAAAAGGAAATAACAGATCTCAAGGTATGACCTCTATAATATGTATATAAATGATTCACATGACTGTAGGTGCTACTCATTAAAACTTGGTCATGCATACAGTGAAAACAAAACAAACAAGAGCTTACTGTGTGCTCTACCAAAAAAGAATTATCATAAAGGACTGTGTACACTTCACTTTTTCACTTACCTGATTGTATGGTGGTAAAATTTAAGGAGATTAGAAATTTTATATAATAAAACTGCCCCAGGTTCAGCAAGTATTACTTGTTCAATTCGAACCTATCAAAAGAAAAAGTTAAATATTTCTTGAAATCATACTTTTTCTTTATTAATGATGTGGTATGTAAAAAGCATAAACGTAGAAGATGGCCCAAGTGCTTGGGCCCCTGCACCCACATGGGAAACGGGGAGGAAGCACCTGGCTCCTGGCTTCTGATCGGTGCAGCGTCGGCCGTGGCAGCCATTAGGGGAGTGAACCAACAGAAGGAAGACCTTTCTCTCTGTCTCTCTCTCACTGTCTATCTCTCTCTCTCTCTCTCTCACTGTCTAACTCTGCCTGGCAAAAAAAAAAAAAAAAAAAGGCATAAAAGTTAAATGTGACATTTTATTATTGTAGAGATAAAAAAAAATGCCTTTTAAGAATTTCTGAAATTTTTTAAGTTAGAGGAGATGATAAAATAATTAACATTGTAAGACAGATACACTCTACCAAAAAGGAAAAGGTCTATTGTCCGTAGGATTTGGATCAAGGTAGCTAATTTCAGAACTATCAATTCAATTAGATCATGTAGAGGTTATCTTCAGTGCATAATGGAATTTAGCTCAATATTAAATTGTAAAAGCAGCTGTTAATCCCTAAAAATAGATTATCAGTGAAAATACACTGTCCTGATGCCAAATATTCAGGAAAAAAAATGAAAGAATTCTTGTCTTTAAAACAATTAGTTTCTTTTTCTATTAATCAGAAAAAAGGAAAGCAGACAAATGTCAAGTCAGCACCAATACAGTTACCTGAATGTAAGACTGCCATGGCAAAAATCCCCTCTGGTTTAAGATTATCTGGATTTGCCTCAAAATGAGCTGCCAGGAATATTTTCTAATTAAATTCCATCCCTCACTGATCTCTTCCTTTATATTCCCTCATTAATTAATACAATCTAAGCCACACTGATACATGCTTACTTACATGACGCATTACACCTGTTCTAAGCTACTATTACATGCCATCATCTTGTTTAACTAGTTCCTAAACATAAATATTTAAACATTGTATTTTCTTCCTCTTTCACATCTCTGCAGTATCTGGTAGAGAAGTACATACACAGCAGATGTTTACTAAATCCTTTTGAAAGCTCAAGTTTCTCTGTTCTTAGATTTTGGCATGTGTCATAATGCCAACAAATGTGATTTGCTAAAATGAGATTCTATAAATATATGTATATAAGCACACACAAAAAATTAATTGTGAAATTGATTTGCTTTTTGGTGTAAATCAATAGAATAGTTAACTATCATAACACTATAGATTATGAACAACATCTGAACTTAAGTTTCCATATGACAATTTATTTCTTAGGCCAAGGCTTCAACAGTGATTTAAATTATGTACTATGTCAAAAAGGTGATGTTTTATGAATTATAATAGAATTACTAAAGCAAATGTAAAATATGTCAACTGTGGACAGACATCTCAGCTATCCGTAAACCTGCCTTCCAGAATTTTGAGATGTCAAGAAAGTACTCCTTATTCCAACTCCCTTAAGAGAAAGGAGATGGAAGGAAGGAGGGAAAGAAGGAAAAGAAAAGAGGGGATGGATGGAAGAAGAAAGGAAGAAAAAAATACAAAAAATAAAAACAACACATGACTCTCTTCACACATATAAAGGCCCAGAGGAAATAGGGCACACTTTCAACTACAATAGAGAATGCCACATAGAAAAGCTGAAAAATCAGGAGATTCACAAATGATAAACTATGATTAGTTTGTTTTCCATGCATAAATAACTTATGAGAGCTTGGTAAGAGACCAATCATTTTTAACCAAAGCCAGGAGTCAGAGGAAAAACAGGAAATAAGAGAAACAAAAGCAAAAAAGTAAAAAGGGCAAAAGAGACAAAGAATTGGCAGCAGCAGCAAATGACTAGACATTATAGTAGTAACAACAATGAAGACAAAAACCACTAGAGCTTGAAAGGAGGGATGCAAATAATGGTTCAGCTACAAAGTATACAGAAGAGACCTGGCACATAATAAGCAGGCAACAAATCTTAACTGTGTTAGTGGCAGGATAATAAAGGCAGATATTAAAAGTAACAAAATAGGCTGCAGGCAATCTTACAGCAGAGAAACTAGAAAAGAGGTAAAAGAACAGTGACTCTCCTCCAAAAAGCCAGATAAAAGAGCAAACGCAGGAGGGAGGGAAGCAGAGGAGATGGGGGAGAAAGGTGGAAGGGAAGGAGGGCTTATGTTTACAGAGAAGGGGCTGAGAGGAAGGGAGGACTGAAAGAGAACAAGCTTCCTTCACACTAACATCACGGATCGCTCCTTAGAGTAGTTATTTTCACAAGTCTATACCAGCAGAGAGCACCAACAACCGTATCATGCAATACAGTATCCAGTTCTGCTCGATGCTATTTGTACATGCATCTATCTTCATAGAACCCCCTCTAATAAAGTCAGGAGCACATAATGCACTAACTTTGTTACTAAAAGAGATAAAATTCAAATGATAATTTGAGGCCAGTGCTGTGGCATAGCAGGTAAAGCAGTGGCCTGCAGTGCTGAAATCCCATATGGGCACCAGTTCAAGTTCCAGCTGCTCCACTTCCAATCCAGCTCTCTGCTGTGGCCTGGGAAAGCAGTGGAAGGTGGCCCAAGTCCTTGAGCCCCGCACCCACATGGGAGACCTGAAGAAGCACCTGGCTCCTGGCTTTGGATCGGTGCCACTGCAGCCATCTGGGGAGTGAACCAGCAGCTGGAAGACCTCTCTCTCTCTCTTTGCTTCTGCCTCTCTGTAACTCTGCTTTCCAAATAAATAAATAAATCTTAAAAAAAAAAAAGCTATAATTTCACCCATGTACTTGAAAACAAAGCTTGAAGGTGTCATTTGTGATGTTTCCAGCCATAGCTTTGGAGTCATAGTAGCCACTATACAATGTATGAAATTTAAGCTTAAAAGCACAGATTTTTAAACCTAGACATGGAGATTATATCTTATTGTGCACTAAACATATTTAGTCTACTACCCATGAAGTTTTATGTTATTAAGACAAAGAAAAGAAAAAGCTAAACAAAGTAGAGGAAATAAAATATGGCTTCTCAAAGGTAGCTTCTATTATTACTAAAACATTTCCTTTATGCTTCTAAAAATCAAAATCTCCCCTACCCTAAAAAGAATTCAGTCCTACAAAGATACAGAGTTGTCAGATCATATATCACATTACTGTCAAGCTAATCTGAAGTAAAATTGCCATGAATACGTTAAATATTCTCAGGTATGTAATAAATATTATTAACATAAGGAAAAATTTAAAATTTCTGTGACTTCAGAAAGTAAAGTGAGTTTTCCTAATTTTATAATAAAAAGACACCTCCTTACAGTTTTTTTTTTCATCTTACATTAAAATTTGCTATGGAGGATAGCCCTATAATTTTTTTAAGACTTATTTATTTATTTGAAAGGTAGAATTAGAGAGAGGCAGAGTAAAAGAGAGAGTGAGAGAAAGTGAGAGTGAGTGAGTGAGTGAGAGAGAGAGAGAGAGAGAGGTCTTCCATTCGCTGGCTCACTCCCCAGATGGCTGCAACAGCCAGAGCTATGCCAAACCAAAGCCAGGAGCCAGAAGCTTCCTCCAGGTCTCCCACGCAGGTGCAGGGGCCCAGTGATTTGGGCCATCTTCCACTGCTTTCTCAGGCCACAGATGAGAGCTGTATCAGAAGTAGAACACCTGGAACTCAAACTGGCGCCCATATGGGATGCAGGCACTGCAGGTGGCAGCTTTACCCGCTACGCCACAGCGCCAGTCCCCATATAATTGATATAAACTCCTTTCTGGACATACAATTAAGGAAAAAAACATGAAAATCTCTAAGTACAATAAAGACAGACTTTGGTATATAATTTCTTTAGAAAAACAACAGGTTTAAATGGTTTTAATTCTTAATCAGTGTAGGACAGGAAATTCTAAGGTCTATTACAACCCCCAGATTATAGAAATAAAATTACATAATCACTCAAAAGAAAGAAAAGTTACAATAAGAACTATAACACTATAAAGAAGAAAGGGTGGGAAAGATAAGATAGATTAAATATAATTTCCTTATCAAAATGACTAGGAGTTGGGGCTGGCACTATGACGCAGCAGTTAAAGCCACCACCTGAGTGCTGGCATCCCATATGGGTGCAAGTGAGGGTTCAGGCTGCTCCACTTTTGATCCAGCTCTCTTCTATGGCCTGGGGAAGCAGTAGAAGATAGCCAGAATCCTTGGGCCCCTGCACCCACGCGGGAGACCTGCAAGGAGCTCCTGGATCCTGGCTTCGGTTTGGTGCAGCTCCAGCCATTGCGGCCATCTGGGGAGTGAACCAGTGGATGGAAGACTTCTCTCACTCTCGCTCTGCCTCTGCCTCTGCCTCTCTGTAACTCTGCCTGCCTAGGCACATTAGCAGGGAGTTGGATAGGAAGTGTAGCAGCCAGTACTCAAACCAGCGCCCTGAAGATGGCGGCGCTGTTGGATGAGGCTTTAACCAGCTGCGCCACAGTGCCAGCCCCTGTATTCCTTTAAAATCTATTGCAGCCCTACTAATTGCCAGGAACTACGTTCTTCATCTACAGTTACCTCATTTAATCTTTACAACAATCCTTCACTATAGGTAGTTTCACATACAGGTTCACTATGAGCAAATTAAGGAGCAGCAGAGTGAAGCAACTGGAACAAGTAAACACAATTAAATGGCAAAATGAGAATTCTAGCCACACTGGACTCTAAATTCTGTTCCTTGTACTATAAATGGCCAATGATCATACTGATATGTACTTTAATTTACCCTTGGATTCATCACTCTTTATTGCTATGATAAACAAAAAAGTTTACTATGGATAAAGAGAGAATATGGAATATATTCTTAGTAAATCTGTAAAGAGTTCATACATTGTTTCAATTTAGTAGATCTTTTCTTGATTGTTTACCAGAAATTACTATGAGAAACATAACCTGAAAAAAATAAGTCAATAAATGCAAACTAAAATATTTCCATTTTTCATCCTGTAAGAGAAAACTGGCAATGATTATGTAAAACTATATTTCATTAGTTTAATTAATGTGTTAGACAAAATTATAGTCTGAGTTCAGGCTGATATCAGTTTCTTAGAACTCCTAAGAATCAGGTGATACTTTTCCCAGATACCATACACCATATGTAAAAACAAAATTTTACCTTCAGAGGTCTGCACACACCCTCAGTGATATGCCCAACAACTTCTTGAATATTTTCTTCAACACCTAAAATTAATTAATCAATATATATTAGACTGCCTTATATAAGGTCAAAAAAACTAACAATATATGATTAATGGCACTTACCAACACACAAAATAACCAGAACAGTACTTTATTAACTTTGATATATTTTGGGTACATTACTAATTGTGTTAATAACTAATGTGTTTCTAGAAAGTATTGTTAGTTCATTTGGCTGTTGAATTAATAAAATAAATATTATTGCTTTGTGATAAGGAAGAAGTAACATAAGACAGAGCAAAAAAAAGACTATGAAATATATTAACTGAAGGAAATGATGTGAAGATGTATTAGCATTTGTTCTAAAAAAAAAAAAAAAACTTATTCCAGGCGGTGGTGCTAAATGTATAAACTGAGGGTATAAAGATGAAAAATATACTTTGCAATCAAATGGAAGAACTGATATTTTCTCAATATCAAGCACAGTATGGGGACTTGACATTTGCTGCTTCTAACCACCGCCTTTCTCACAGGTGGAGAAACTGAGGCTCAGAAGATTTCACTCCTTCCTGAAAAATAAGCTACTTCATCTAACTCCAGCCTCCTTCCTTCCCACCTCTTAACACTGACTCTACTTTTCTAAAACATATTTTAAGAAATACAAGCACATTCTTTTAAACTGAGTAATCAGGATAACAACAAGAAAAAAAAAAAACTCAAACAATGTAGTAGCCTTTGTGCCAATCCATGCTGAGTCTAACCTCAACACTGCAGAGTTTAGGTATTACTATCTATTTCTATGCTGGTGTCTCCTGCAGATCATGTGATAAACCACAAAAATGCGTGGCTGAGTTACGTGAAATGGTCAAGTGATAACCATGTCACAATATTTCTCTTCACTTCCCATCAAAAATAGAACATCTTTTTTTCATACATTAAACCCTCAAACTTTAAAACAAGCACCCTAACAGAGTCACAACTAAGAAGATTTGAAATTATATAAATAAGACTAGAGTAATTCTAAAATATAGTTATTTTTTCTTCCTTGAAATCAGGATAAACATTTTAAGTACATGTTTTAGGGGAAAAGTATTGAATAGTTTGATGAAAATGGAAAAGAAAATGGGAAGTCAAAAGTTGGATTGGGGCCGGCACCGTGGCTCACTAGGCTAATCCTCCGCCTAGCGGCGCCAGCACACCGGGTTCTAGTCCTGGTCGGGGCGCCGGATTCTGTCCCGGTTGCCCATCTTCCAGGCCAGCTCTCTGCTGTGGCCAGGGAGTGCAGTGGAGGATGGCCCAGGTGCTTGGGCCCTGCACCCCATGGGGAGACCAGGAAAAGCACCTGGCTCCTGGCTCCTGCCATCGGATCAGCGCGGTGAGCCGGTCGCAGCTCGCCGGCCGCGGCGGCCATTAGAGAGTGAACCAACGGCAAAGGAAGACCTTTCTCTCTGTCTCTCTCTCTCTCACTGTCCACTCTGCCTGTAAAAAAAAAAAAAAAAAAGTTGGATTGAAGTGAACAAATTAGTAGCTTAATAACCATAAGTGAGTCATTTAGTCTGTTCACTCATAAACAAATACCATCTCTTATCTTTAGTGTCATGCTGAAGATTTGAGGTAATTCATGCAAAACATTCCAGAAATGTTATAAATGTGAAGCTGTGTATATGCTTGATGGGGAAGAAATAGGGTCCACTATAAAACTGTGAACAGTTCAGTGACAGGATAAGAGCAAAGAAGAAGAAAGTATATTAGGAGAGTAAGGATAAATCCAGAGAGGAAAATTAATTAAGATGTTTATTGTACCATCAAGGTGTGAAGTGTTTTACCTCAATGAAGAAGATGGCAGTGAGAATAGAAATAGTGAAGCCTTATAATGTTTTCTAAACTCAGGTTTTAGCAGTGAACAACCATACCCACCTTGTAACAACGGTACCTACCTTGGGTAGGAACGTGTTTTAAGAGAGCTTCCAGGTGTTCCTTTTCAGAAGCAGTAGCTTGATGGAGCCAGGCCAGCATATCTCCCACATACCTATACAAACAGAATACTGGTGAAGAGTTCCTTTTAAAAAACCTCAAATCCTTCACTGCTGTCTGATACTATACCTCAAAGGGTCATGGGAGTGCATCTCAATGGGTCTAGGTGTACTTCCTGGGCCTCCTCTTGTAAGGGCATCAATAAATCCACGAACAACTGTACTTCTTCTGGCTGTTCCAAATTCATCTAAGGTGTACCTGGAAAAAAGAAGTTAAATGAAAAGCAGTTCAATTTTTCCCCTAATGATTATATCAGACTACTCATGCAATTTCTGAGCTAAGTAAGATATCTAAAGTTTCTTTAGACATTCTCTTAAACAATATTGCTCTTACACAAGAAAAAAAAAGACTTATGAGATAACTTCAGCATTTGGAAATTCAATCTAAAAGTACAATTTTTCACTCTTCCTAGGGAACAGTACTGGGATTTGGGATTAAAACAAGGGCAGCAGTAATAAGGGATAGAGCAGTGGTGGACTTAGTAAAAGAAAAATCAAGCCAAGCCAAAAGTCCTTGAATTCTTCAGCTTGCAATAGCTTTGCAATATAAATCATGGTGTTCTACTGTTTTTCATGAAGCTACTTAATAGAAGTCTGCAACCTAAAAACTAAGATTTTTTTCTGTATATTAAAAAATTCTCCTTTTCATATACTATTACAATTTATACGAAAATTTGCTGCCCAAATTGTTATCCATTTTAAAAGCTTATACTGACTCCAATATTAGACAGACTAGGTGTTCCTTAAATTCCAAACATGCATAAAGAGCAAATACCATTTCCTAAACATACATAGAGCCTTCAGAAAGTTCACGGAAAAAGCAAATTAAGAGAATACTATGTATGGATTCAACATTTTTGTTCTAAAATAAAAGTTACTTTTTAATTTACCATTTTCCGTGAACTTTTAAAAGTACTCTCATATATTTAGAAGTCACCTACCAAAGCTTAAAAGAGGAAAATTCTTTTTAAGGTGAGGAACTAGCAGGGAAGGAAAGCTTTGAACCAATGGGTAGGACAACTCAGGGTGAAGTTTATGAAGATGACCTGGAGTTGCCCCATGTACTATTTCTTTCAATGCACTCATCCCTTACTTCCCATTGTCACCACCACTGCTTACACGCATCCCCCAACTGAAAGGTCCTTCAATTTTAAAAGTAAACAGGAAAACAAAGTATATTTTGGCAATCCAATGTCAAGAGAGTTGCTTCATTTCCTATTAAATATAGAACATCTTTTCATTATACACTAAACCCTCCAATTTCTATAACAAAGATATTAAAACTCTCAAGTAGTCATTTTTCTTCTTTAATTTTTAAGAATATTAAGAATTATTAAGAATAAATACTAAGAATTATTCTATTAACCTACCCATATTTAAAAGTTATCAAAATTTACCTAGGATCTCCAAAACATGTCATTTCTTACACTATGCTATACTTCTTTCTTTAATATGTTGCTGATTTAACAAAAAAAATCATTTTTGGTTAAATATAAGAAAAATGGGATAGAAATTATTTCCAAATAAAGGGGAAAGTGTGAAGTGGTGAATGCCTATAATTTTTAGGAACCTGAAGTTTTTTTTGAGAACTGTTCACTATAAACCAGACTGTGGCTCTTTGTGATTGTTTGTCTTCATGTATAAGAAAACAGTTTTGAAATTTCCTGAAAGTCAATACTACTACGGAAAAGGGAAAGCACAGTATCAAGCTAAAATTTTTTAACTGCATAGTTGCCTTGCATTTACTTTGCATGTTTTAAAACAACTTGAACAAAATGCTCATTTCTGTTTTTTCCCTCATGCTCTTAAATTATAAATATTTCTAGTATGAAGAAGGCCTTCTTTAAATGATCACCTGATTCCAAGAAATAATGAATGTATGTTCAGATTACTACTTATCACTATATGAGATTCAGAAACTTTTGAAATTTTTAAATTTATAAAACTAATTCCACTCCCAATAGCCCACTGACTATAGTAAACATAAACAACTTCTGTTTCTGGGGCTGTTTCCTAGAGTTACAGTTAAAACAGAAACAAGAGAATCCAATGGTATTCAATGGTATTATAAATGGGGGTTGGGGGAAAGAGTGGATTATTAAATCTGACAACCTCTGGAAAACTAACATGCAATAGCAATAAACATTAATGTTAATTTTCCTGCAGAACAAATATAATTTGAAGCACAAACAACATGAGCAACAATGAACCTTCAGTGATAACAACAGACATGAAATATTTTTCCGAGAGACAGAAGAAAATGTTAACCACATGAGACTCTCTTCCAACAAAGAGAAAAAATGAAGAATGTAGCTTTCTAAGAATCAATGTTCAAATTATTTAAATATCCTAAAATGCCTCCAGTTAAAATTAAAAGATATTTTTTCTGTTTAGCTCCAATAAATAAAAGCAAAATTCTAATCAAAAAGCAAATTAAAAAATACTACAGAAGTTCCTCTTCTGAATACAAAAAATACAAACATGAAAAATGAAGCAGAGTAGCATTGTACATACTGCTACATCTTTAAATAACTTATGTTCTGAAGGCTTATCAAGGAAAAGAAAAAATCATCAACTCTTTTTAATTTTGACTTATAATAAATTACTACTTAAAGCAACTTACTGAAATTAGATCATTGGTGGTCTCTCTCTACTTACTAGTTTTTGAATTCTTTATTTAGTGGGGGATTAAGCTGGTGACTATAAAGTAAATTGAAGGAAAGGAAGGAAGAGGAAGGAAGGGTAGGAAATATGTTCTTAAAACTGCATATGTGAAATACATGAAATCGGTTTCCTTTATATAAATAAGAAAAGAAACTTCTGTAGTTGATTTATTAAAAGTTAATAATGAAGTAATATTCAAGTCACATACTACCCAAGAAACAATGAATATTGCCACTGTCCTGAGAGACAGCAATAACTGACATTATTCTGCCAATATCTTCACATTTGAAACACCGTAAGGAGCAGTGAACATTTACACATTATTTAACAAAGTTCATATACTGCCATCTGGTGGCTGACATGATACATTATTAAATTTTTTCTAAATTTAAGGAAATTCCCATCTTGAAAAAGTGATTCTCTCTCAACCCATACTTTTGCACATGCTATTCCCTTAACATGGAATATTCTGTTCTTCCTTTCTCCCAAGAAAATATCTATTCAACTTCAGAACTCATTTTATACCTATTTCCCTGAGGAACTGTACCCAGATGTTCATCTCTTTCTCCTTAGAAATCTTAAGCCACACATCACCCAAAATGTGACCCCTAGATAGTAATTAATATATACTGTTAAAATGCAATTGCTTACATCTGGATTCATAAAGTAAAACAACTTGAGGACAATTTTGTATTTGATTTTTAAAACTTATTCACTTGAAAAGAAGAAAGAGAAAGACAGTGAGATTTCCCATCTGCCAGTTCACTCCCAAAATGCCCTCAACAGCCAGGGCTGTGCTGAAATGAAATCAGGAGTCTGGAACTCAATCAAGATGCCTCACCGGTGGTAGAGACCCAAGTACTTGAGACACTTCATGTTCAGCAGGATAGAATGGTGAACAGAACTAGGATTTTAACAACCTATGCAGAACTAGACTAGGACTTTAACAACTCCGATCTGGGACATGGATGTGTCAAGCAACAGCCTACCCAGGACATCAAATGTCTGCCCCCCGCCATACTGATTTCTGTGCCTCCAGAAATTAAAACAATGCTTAAAACACAGTAAGTACTCAGTATGTAATATAAAGTTTTATCATTTTGCAGAGCTATCCTAGTATTTGTGCTATGGAATTTTTACAGGCTAATTAATGTTCTAGTCAGAAAGTAGAGTAATGAAGAAATCCTTTAAAAAAATATGACTCAGACCAAGACCCAATGCCTTTGTAACAATCTTTTGGCTATTTCTTTTATTTTTTCTTTTAAAGAATTTTTTTTTTATTTATTTGAAAGAGTTACAGAGAAAGGTAGAACCAGAGAGAAAGAGACAGACAGACAGAGAGGGAGGGAGAGGGAGGGGGAGGGAAGGGGAGGGGGAGGGGGAGGGAAGGGGAGGGGGAGGGAAGGGGAGGGGGAGGGGGGGAGGGAGGGAGGGAGAGCGAGCGAGAGAGAGGTCCTCCATTCCACTGGCTCACTCCCCAAATGACCACAACAGCCAGAGCTGAGCCAATCTAAAGCCAGGAGCCAGGAGCTTCCTCCAGGTCTCCCACACGGGCACAGGGGCCCAAGCACTTGGGCCATCTTCTACTGCTTTCCCAGGCCTCAGCAGAGAGCCGGATCAGAAGAGGAGCAGCCGGAACTCGAACTGGTGCCCACATGGGACACAGGTGGTGCAGGCTGGAGCCTTAATCCACTATGCCACAGCGCTGGCCTATTGGCTGTTTCTTAAATTATCACAACCCTCAGTCTCCCTAGAACTTAATCTCATGCTACTCCAGACTTTTTAAGAAATAATTTTATTTCATGAGAAATAGAAGAACAAAATTAAAAAGCAGGCAGAGCATTTGGTTGGCATAATTTACAGGATTCAAAGTCTTTTGACTCTCTTTTCCAAAATACTATCAATGGAAACCTAACAGTAAAAATTGAGGTTTTTTTTATCCCTGTGTGATCTCTCTGGGGGAGGTTGACAATTCCAAAGAAATTAATAAAATGACAGAATGGGGAAACCACTACATGAATAAAAGGTGGTTTAGATAAAGGGGCACCCTGGTTTTCCTCTTCATATTGTATTCTATAACATGTCATATTCAAATGAGTGGATGTTCCAATGATATACATGCAAGATGAAAATATCACTGTAAATTATTATAAATATGAAGTAGATCATACCAAAAATTAATGTAAATTATCAAAGAAAAAGTACAATTTAATTTTTAATTAGGAAAAAGTCACCAACTTATATAAGACAGGTCTATCCTGCAGGGCTTCCATTGCCTGAGTTAAGACTGGAGATATGTCACATGATTCATGTGTCAATGTTCTGCATTCACCTGAAAAATAATTAACATTAAAACTCTCATTACATAATAAGTCTTTATCATGTCCATTGTATACTAGAAGTCTAAATTTTACATCAAACATCCCAGGAAAAAAGTGTTCAGAAAAAGCTAGAGAATATGGCAATCAGAAAGTAATTTATGCTGTTAACTGAACTAGAAATTAAGTAGTTATAAATTTTATGTGACCACATATCCTATCAGATACACCCAAACCCATATTTTATAATGATAAAAAATTACATTTATGAAGAAAACAATCAAGAAACAAGTATTTATTGAATGACTGCCATACACAGGGCAGTGTAAGATAAGAGCAGAGAAGTACGAAAAATACATTACCAGTTCCTTCCTTCAGGAACAATCATTAAGTAGTTTTTTAGAAACGTTCATATGGAGAACTGATACATGGTAATAAAATTATAATTTCAAAATTATTCCGATATTAAACTCAGAAATCTCTATAACATTTTCTTTACTGTTCTAATTTTATCTATAAGATGCTACAAGTACCTACTATAGTCTGAATTTAAAACTTGATTAGAAATTCCCAACCTTTGGGTAAACAAGAATGTCTTTCCCACAGTATGTTTCCCTAGCATGTATGAATGATAAAACACACATGTAAGAAATTGGAGACATCTTTAAAAGTGACTCCACAATGTCCAAGAGTCAGAGATCCAAAGTTTGAAACCACTATGTGAGATGCTGTGGAAATGTGAAGAAATATGAGGCAATGCCCATGCCTTTGTGAAGGTAGAAATTAACTAGAGATAAGGCAAATATATGTGAAAGTTGAGTACTAATACATTATATCAAATGCTAACTACTCATTACCAGTGATTAGGGTTTAGAGATGAAAAAAGTCCCTGTGATTTTCTGTAGCCATGGACAGCTCCAGGAAGATTCACAACCTAAATGCTGCATTGAATGTTAATACAGGATTTGTATACAAAGAAAGAAAAAGTCAGACAACACTCCAGATAGGAGGAAACACTGTCAATAAAAAGAGAAGTAGAAAAACAGGCAGTTTAGAGATAAAGAGCAAAGCACCCAGAAAGAGAATTAGGGTGTCACAGTATAGAACACGTGTAATCAGGTAACTGGATTTAATCACAACTCCTTCAACAAGTTAATAACAGTTATTAAGATATCATGTGCTCCTGTTCCACTCTTGCTGAACTATTTTCACTGGTTTTAACAGACTATTTTGCAAACCGTAAATTGAAACATTGCTTCTGTGGTAGGTGAAATAATGGTGCCCCAAAGATAGCCACACCCTCATCTCTGGAACCTGTGAGCATGTTGCATTACAGGACAAAAGCAATTTTGCAGATGGACTTCAGCGGGTAGACCTTAAAACAGATTTTCTCAGACTACCCTTAAAATAGAGGAGGCGGAAATAAGCAATGCAAGAAGGAGCAGTAGAGATTAAAGGTCAAAGAGAGACTTGACACACCACCGCTAGCATTGAAGATGAATGAAGGGGCCACAGGCAAAGAATGCAGGCAGCCTCTAAAACTAGGAAACTCCTTCACTGACAGCCAGCAAGGAAACTCAGACCTCAATCCCACAGTCACACGGAAGGGAACTCTGGCAACAAAATTAATGAGCAAGGAAACAGACCATCCCTCAGAGCCTGCAGAAACAAATACAACCCTGCCCATACTTACAGTGTAGTGACAAATCCAATTTCTGATCGGAATTGGTGTGGTTTTAACTCATTAAGTCTATGGTACTTTGTTAGAATAGCAATAGAAAGTTGATTCATTATTTATAACTTTGAATTATGTAAACAACAAGAAGTGTCTAATCAAGATAATGAAGAACAGAAATACAGTCTTCCTGTTTCATTCTTATCCTTCAGTATATTGGTTGACTGAGAGTAAAGGCGAATGATACAAAGATATTATGTTCAAATGTAGAATTTGTTTTTCTCTTTTAAAACACTTTTGACTACTAAAAACAAAATTTATCAGATAAAGGCCAAATGCAATTTTTAAAATCAAATACTAATATTCATAAACTTAAACAATATGAAAGAAATCACTTACTTTGAGCCCATCGGTAAAGTCTCTCATAAGCTGTTTCTTGAAGCAAGGCCATCTGTTCCATAATTTCTAACCTAAAAAAAATTAAAATTTAAACTTTTGGTCAATAGCTACTTGTAAGTACCTAATTATTTTACTTAGTTAAGGAATGATGTGTCTACAATCTATTAGCTTTTTATTTTCTGGTATGATTTTTTCAGTAATCAGTAATTTTTTATGATTAAAAAAAGTCAAATTTTAATAACATCACTTCCTTACAAATTACTGTTTGTCTATAAACATGTTACAGTATAACTTCCTCTTTTTCCAAAGCTAAATGAAAATTAAACTCCTATTTGACAGTCAGTAAGAGTTTCCAAAAGAACCTAAATTTTCAAAATGTACACACTGATGTAATCCACGCAAGGAAGTTACTCACCCTGCTGTTTGCTGGTTGGTACGTAGGAGAACTTTGACGTCATTATGAATCTGTTTTACTCTTCCTAATGCTTTGAAAAAGTCCTTTAAAATAAAGAATGTGACTTTTAAATACCATGATTTCAGCTACAATTAATTACCTTGATTGAAAGATTACTACAAAAGGGAAACAAATTCTTTCACCTATTCTAATGAAGCCTTTTTATACCGATCTAAATTTTTAAATATTTTAAATAAAGCATAATAGGTATTTATTCATATTTTTAAACACATTAATTTGATATGTACTATGTGCTAAAAAGTATGCTAATTGCAATGATATAAAACTTATAAAGACAAAAGTCCATGTCCTCAAGAAATGTACAGTATAGTAAGAGAAATGCAAACCTAAAGATTACCACATAAAGGAAAACATATTACGTATTACATATCTTATGACTTTAGTATGGCATTCTTATCACAGGTGACTATGTTTTATGTATTGATTTTATGTCTGTTCCTGTCTCATCCAAAAGTTAAATATAAAGCTAGATGCAAACAATATGCTTATTAAATACATAATAATTGAATGATCACAAAGTGATGATTTTTTTTTCTTTTAGAAAAATGTATTGGAATCTTAGTTTCCACAGTGTCACAAATAATATTCCAATCATAAAATAATGGATGTTATTTTTCTTTGATGAATAATTTTTTAGAAACTCAGTTTAATGAAAATAGAACATATGACGTAACTGTACTGTGAGAAATGAAGGAGTAAAGGGAATACATATGTGCGCTGCTTGTGCTGTGGGGTTATGAGGCTAAATCCTCACATTTCATGATAGGAAATCAACAGAAATAATATAGACAATCAAAGCATATTCTTTTTAACGACAGATCTAAAATATAGACTTCACAAAAAAGCAATTAACAAAGCTGGCAGAAATGGTTGTAAATTATCAACAACTTAGAAGTAGGGAAGAGAGGAAGAGGTGATGCAGACTTTCTTTATAATTTTTCTTATACTCTTTGGCTTCCAACAAAATTAGGCTTCCAAGAAAATTCATGTGTTACTTTGAGGAAAAAAAAACTTAAAAATTAAGTACCTCAGTAACAGGTCCTTCTCTTGTACCACGGAGAAGACCCATTTCATCAGAAGTCAGCTGGAACTTGGACAAGAAGGCATCAGCAACCTGTGCTCGGATTTCCAATCTTTGACTACAATTTTAAAAATAAGAAATAAGAATCCAGCATGCAATGCACTTGTATGGCTTTAAAATAAATTATCTGCACAATTTTTAAAACGAAAAGTGTGAAAGATTCTCAACATCTTCAAAAGCCTTGTTTCTGCTCCAAATATTGAAAGATCATCAGATGTGTAGGTAATAAAATTAATTTATGTTTCAAATTCAAATACTGGCAGATAATAAAGGAGTTTCTCTGTTTGCAAAAGAAGTTAATTCACAAATCACCCCTGCTTCACAAATTTTCAGCCATTTACCAATACCTGAAGAGCTCACCTTGTAATTGACAAGGTTACTCTACAAGAAAGAAATTTGCTCCTGTCTTCAGCCTTTTTAATCACTAAAAAGTTTAAGCTTTCAAAGTTTTCACATAAAGTATAAAAGAATCAAAGAGCAGCTCTAGGGGCAGCGCAGTAGGCTTAGCCACAGCCTGTGATGCCAGCATCCCGTATGGACACCAGTTCAAGTCCCAGCTGCTCTAATTCACATCCAGCTCTCTGCTAGTGGCATATGAGGGCAGCAGAATATGGTCCAAGTTCTTGGTTCCTGGTTCCTGGCTTTAGATTGGCCCAGCCCGGATGTTGCGGCCATTTGGGGAATGGATGGAAGATATCCCTCTCTCGCTCTCGCTCTAACTCTGCCTCTCAAATAAATAAATAAAAATCTAAAAATTCTACTAGTTTCTATTTTAGGTTAGACAAGGAAGTCAAGAACTCCTTTACTAATTGTTCATAGATCAATAGAGTCACTGTAGTCTACTCCCACTTTTTTAATATATTCAAAAATTGGGGCTGGTGTTGTGATATAATGGGTTAAGCCGCCGCCTACAGTGCTGGCATCCCATATGGGCACTGGTTCAATACCTGGCTGCTCCACTTCCAAACCAGCTCTCTGCTATTGTATGGAAAGGCAGTGGAAGATGGACCAAGCCCTTGGGCCCCTGCACCAGCATGGGAGACCCAGAGAAAGCTCCTGGCTCCTGGCTTCAGATTGGCACAGCTCCAGTCATTGCAGGCCATTTGGGGAGTGAACCAGCAGATGGAAGATCTCTCTCTCTCTGCCTCTCCTTCACTCTCTGTGTAACTCTTTATATATATATATATATACATATATATATATATATGATACACACACAAATAGTATCATAGTATCTTTTAAATTATATTATCTGAATGCAAACTATCTAGACTAGTGGACAACTGGGAAAAGGCATACTCTATTCTAGAATGGAACCTGCAAGGACCCAAATGATAAAATAAGTTAACCATCTAAAGCCAACTGAGGAACATGAACTACCTGAACAGGAGCTCAATATTTCTGGTTTCGGTACCTTAGATCTGAAGACATACAAATAAAATCACAAAAGTGTGTCACTGCTAGCATACACAAACAGCATTCAAATGAGAATGAACAAAGGCAAACATTATCACTATTTGTACAGAGTATGCAAAGCATCTGCCATCTTTTTTTTATGTGCACTTAAGCATTGGGAGGTTTTAAACTTAAAGCAAATGCTCCTACTGATTAATATGAAGACTAAAACTTACAAAGGAAAAGTCCTCAGGTGTTTAGCAGAAGTGATAAAGTCAATCATCTAATTAAGTCCACACAGATGGAGACAGCATATGCACTTAATCATCTTATAAATTATAATATCTATAAATTACCCCACATGTTTTGTTTTATGCTCTTAAATCACTACCAATTATTATCATACAGGATTTAAAATAATTATAAAACTTTTTAAAATTCCTTGAGACTATACAAATTAACCATTTCAACCAAACTCTTTTTCAAAGCTTCTTTTGTATCCATTTTTGAAAACCATTTTTCAAATCAATTTACCAGGCACACAAGAAAATCAATCTCTTCTGTTTATAGGTTCGTTTTTCCTTAACAGACATTGGATGATGTCTGGACATACGATATCCCTTAAACATTAAAATTTTTTCCAAATTTTATAGCTGACTGGAAAACATAACCTATGAACTAAACATAAACAATACATGTAAACCCATGAAACAAGACCAAACCCTAGACTCTATATCATCAAAAAGGTCCAAAAATATTTTTAACAAGAGCTATGCCACTAAAATAATGTTTTAATTTCTCAAGATGACAACGTTTAAAGTAACAATCAAATAAATCAAATACATCTTTTAAACTCTATTATTTATTTGAAAGGCAGAGAGAGACAGAGACAGGGTCTCCCACCTGCTGATCCACTCCCCACATAACCACAACAGCACGACTAGGCCAGACCACAGGCAGGAACCAGGGACTAAATTCAGGTCTCCCACATGGGTTTTAGGATCCTATCTGCTTGAACCATTACTACTGCCATCACCAGTATTCAAGGAAATGTAAAATTCAATAATGAGTTAATGTTTTTCATCAATGAAAGCCGCAGTTTTCAATGACAGTATCTATTGCTGAGAAGGGTTTACTATAAAAGACATCCTCATATACTGCTGATTGGAAATATTAATTTATATAGTCTGAAGAGAAATTTAGGGAATGTATATCAGGACATTTTCAAAATGTTTGGATTTGATTCATTCAATATAATTCTAGGAATTCAGCCTGAGGAAAAAATCTGAAGTGTAACTTATGATTTTAAAACATTTACCAAGCCACTATTTTTGGTATTTTGGTATTTTTTCCCAGTGGAAAGAACAGGTCTTCAAAGAAGGAGGTACCTTTCTCTGAAGGGAGGAGAGAACCTCCACTTTGACTATGACCTTGTCTAAACAAGATAAGAATCGGAGAACTCAGAGGGCTTCCATAGCCTTGGAAACTCATGACTGGAGCATAGGGAGATTACTGATGCCATAGACAGGAGTGTCAATTGGTAAAGTCAACAACAGGAGTCACTGTGCACTTACTCCTCATGTAGGATCTCTGTCCTTAATGTGCTGTGTATTGAGATTTAATGCTATAACGAGTACCCAAACAATATATTTCACTTTGTGTTTCTATGGGGGTGCAAACGGTTGAAATCTTTACTTAATGTATACTAAACTGATCCTCTGTAAAAAAAAAAAAAAAAAAGAAAAGAAAAGAAATTATCAACTCTCACTGGGATTAAACATGACAATAGGTCTGATCTGATTTCATCATCATTTAAAAAAAAATCATCTATTATTTTTCACTTTATGTTTCTGTGTGGGAGCAAACTGTTGAAATCCTTACTTAATGTATACTAAGCTGATCTTCTGTATATTAAGATAATCGAAAATGAATCTTGATGTGAATGGAAGGGGAGAGGGAGTGAGAAAGGGGAGGGCTGTGGGTGGGAGGGACGGTATGGGGGGGAAGCCATTGTAATCCATAAATCGTACTTTGGAAATTTATATTCATTAAATAAAAGTTAAAAAAAAAAAGAAAACAATATATTCAATAATGTAAGCATAGTTAAACATATGTTGGTTCATTCACAAGACAAAATATAATGCCACCATTAAAAATCATGGTCTTGCTGTGGCAGAGGCCTTTGTCTTTTAATTAAACTTGTTTCTAACTGACATGCTTAAAGTTGTGGTAGAGGCCTTCCTAAGGTCAGAAGAAGAAAAAGGGAGGCATCTGTCTTGGGAATGAAATGTAGTTGTTATCTGCTTGCCTATGAATGCTTCAACCATAGTCCCTATCTGCTTATATGTAACCATTTCAGGTTCTACTTGTTAATACAGAGCAATGATGTTAACCCTTGCCAGACAGCTTATAGTTCATCATGTGTTTAAAAAAAAAAATCTTCAGTAACTACATATGCACAGTATTGTATCAATCCTATGGTCACCATGTAACATTCAAATATCCAATCAAATGTACATAGGGAACCAGAAAAGGGAAACAAAGAGGCTAAAACTGTATATAAGGGAAAACTCTTTGTTCAAGAATCAGGATTTTGGATAAGAAATTCCACCTGGGCCTTATTCCAGCATAATAAAAGACTACTTCCTGTTAAGAGGCCATGGTGTCTTGTCTCAGTACATGAATGCTGCTATATTGGGGCCACTGTTGTAGTACAGCGGGTTAAGCCACCATCGACATCCCATATGGACAGTAGTTTGAGTCCAACTGCTCCATTTCCAATCCAGCTCCCTGCCAATGTGCCTGGGAAAGCAATGGAAGATGGCCTAAGTCAGCGGACTCTGGCACCCATGTGGGAGACCCGGATGAAGCTCCTGGCTCCTGGCATCAGTTTGGCCCAGCCTCAGCAGTTGCAGCCATTTGGGAAGTGAACCAGAGGGTGGAAGATATCTCTCTCTCTCTCTCTCTCTCTCTCTCTCCACCCCCCCCCGTCGCTCTCTGTAACTCTGCCCTTCAAATAAAATAAATAAATCTTTAAAACAAAAACAAAACAAAAATGGTCTCCTAAAATTAGTCATAGGAAAATGATCAGAAAATATCACATACAAAAAGTAAAATGTAAATGCACACACATACTCAACTCTGGAAGGAAACACATCAAAATATAAATAGTGGTTATCCCAGGGTGACAGAGTTACATTTGATTTTAATTTATTTAAATATTATATAAAGATATTTATTAACATTATGTTAAAGTTATTATTTTAATAAAGAAAAAGTACTTTTCTGCACTTAAGAGATTTCCTGTATCTAATTTATACAAAGAAAAGATAAAAACAGCCTGTTCTAACAGGATTTTAGAGCATCTGGTTTTCAATTACAATCTTTAAGGAAAAGTATTCTGTAAGAGTTCTCTTAAAATAATGGAGGAGGAGAGGAAGAAAGGGAGATGGAAAAGGAAAACAACTTTCCTTTTGACAATTCTATAATGTATCAAAATGAAAGTTAGAATAAACATGTTCTTTTAAAAGACTGGTTAGAAAAACTCATTAATTAGAGGTAGGGGTTTGGTGTAGGAATTAAGCCACTTGGGACACCTGCGTTCAACAGAGGACTGCCTGGTTTGAGTTTCAACTCCTCCACTTCCAAGCCATTGATATGATA